AAATGCATGAGCAAGCATAAAATGACAGGTGTAACTTCTAGCATTAGTTATGCACGTACTTGTTATCAATATGAGTGTGTTACTTGATGTGCATCTAATTACCATTTTCTCTTTTCTTTAGGTATTCTCCATTTGCTCCAGATTACACATATCCTCAGGTACCCAGTTCTTCTTTTTTGAATTTCGAAAATCATAATAACATTGTCGCGATTGAGTTGATAATCAATTATCATGTTTAGGTCTTCTCATTGTTTGTTTCTCTGTGATAAGCAATACACGCATAGAGATATGAACCTTGTATATGAGCTAAGTAATTAGAGAATTATCATTTATTGATTTGGAGTTTTTGATTCATCATGAATTGGATTGAGCAATCATCCTTGTACAAGCCATATATAGCACATACTATCACCTCAATATTGAATTTGGATCCTCTCCACTACAAAAAAGTAGTGGAGAGACCATTATTTTTAATCTCAATCGTTAATTATTTAGTAGGCGGTTATGATACAATCTAAATCTAACACTCACCATACCCTCGTGTATTGCACTCATTCATAATTTGCACTCAAAAAAAAAATTCACAACCACCAACTAGATAATCAACGGTTATGATTATGTAGTGGTCTCTCCACTACTTTTTAGATAGTGAAGAGGATCCGAATCCCTCAATATTATGATGGGAAGTTCTCAATCTACCAATTGTTGATTGTCAATGAGAACCACTCAAAATAAGCATCTGTCAAGAATAAACCAATAGGCAGTAGCCCATATTGTGATCGTCGAATTAACTTGGAATAAATTAAGTTGGATTTGATAAATTACACGGCATGAATTCCCAAAAGATCAAGTTAAATAAACCATAAACATGGTATGATTAGGGCCGGACATGATTACTGAGTAACTAATTAATTTATTCTATGAACATGATTCACTAGGTTAGAGAAAGATACATATTATCATAGGATTTCCTAGAAATTGTTATAAATAAGTTACCGCTTGTATTAGTGAAGGTATTAGTTGAATGATCTGATGAATTAGTTAACTTGTATACCACAGGATTTTGCCAAAGAAAGAAGAAAAAGAAAAAGAAAAGGCTGGAACTTGTATCATGATGAGTTAACTTGGAATATTTCATCACCAAGTCTTGCATAACGAATTGTAGCAAACAACTTGGCTTAGAGAAAACTACAATAAATTCTCAAATCTACAGAAAATACATACTACATGTTATCATAGAGTTTGATAACAATGTCAACAGTGTTGTTTAAAAGTTCAAAAACGTCTCAAATAATCTAGGAGGGCAGGATAACAAAACAGTTATACAAACTAAATAAAGACACAAATATTGTCCAAAAATATGTCGACACATGCTTATTACATGTTTTATCAGAAATTATAATTTAACAAGGAAAACATGGTACGTTTTTTTTTTCCTATTAAACATATCTTGTGATATATATATTTTTTAAACTGTCAGAGCTATTACAACGTGTATGGCGGCGCTTCTGCTGCCCAGTTTCCAGTCTATGGAGGAGTTTACCCTTACATCGGGCAGTTCGGACAGGGAGGAGGCGCTGGCCAGTATACCAGCGGGCAGAGTTACGGTGTTCAGTATCCTCAGATGTATCAGTACTCGGCAATGGCTTCGGCTGCTGGAGTCACTACAGGGTTTGCAGCTCAACACTATGCAGGGCATGTCAACCCCCAGGCCCAACTTGCTGCAGGTTTGTATAATCTGCCTTACTTATATCCCCGGAACTTGCTATTAGTGTAGTGGACACTTCTTTTTTGACCCAAAATTTATCGGATTCTTCAAGATTAATAACGGTCAATGGAGACACACATTGTCGATCAGTCCCATACTTGTCCTATTATTTTGAGTCCAAAAGTAATTTCTCTTGGATATATGGTTGACAGTGGCGAGTTTCCAAAAAAAGAAAAAAAGAAAAGAAAAGAAAAAAAATAAAGATTAGTAATCATCTACATACTCGATATCATAGAGAAATCCAACGAAGTTTATCATGTGGACCAATAGCATATATTTATTTTGTGCAGCAAATAGAACTATTTATTTTCATGAATTATGTAAATGTGGAACCCACACGAGATATATATATATATATATATGGAAAATAACTTAAGGACCCAAAATATGAGACCAAGGGAGGGGACATGTGAGGTGTCCCCTCTCTATTGTATAATGAGGTGTCCCCAAAATATGCCAACTCATTATGCAATAGGGATGGGACACATCACCTGTCCCCTCCATTGGTCCCATATTTTGGGTCCCCGTAGCTCAGTGGTAGGATTTCTGTACACCTAGACTAGAAAATTGTTTGGAATTCTAGCTGCCATATAACTTTCTTCCTAATTTCTTCTGCAATATGGTTTCTCTAAATATTTTTTTTGAGAAATTTGATTTTCCAAAATAATTGATGTGCTAATTAATATATATTTTTAACAGTGACTTCTCCTCTTATGCAGGCATGACAATGCCTTTTCCAGCTCCATCTCTGCCAACTCCGACTCCCCACCATTACAGGCTGATTCCTCCTCCCTTCGCCGCTCCGGGGCCACCGGAGCAACCCTTGGCTTGACCGTGGTTTTCTCTCTCTAAGTTAAAATATTTCATGTCCCATGCATTTTCTCTCACTAGCACCAAAAAAAAAAACATAGTCCCTTGGTGTGGGCTACTAAAATTTCCACATTTTTCGCTTGGAAGCGTCTGACTCACGCTATAGCCCGATCGAAGTGTGATGGCTAATTATCTCCTTCAAATTTTAGCTCTAGGATGAGCTAAAAAGGGTATTTCTTCAAACAACCCCCTTTTCTTTTTCTTCTTTTTGACCTTAAACCTTGTAGCTTTAGCACATCATGCATCATTTAGTTAGTTTAGTATAGCCAATTACCAATTCGATCGATCATCGTAATAATCCACTTAGATAGTTTCTTGTAATCCTAGTCGGCTTACCCTGGGAAGGGTAAAGTTGTCTTCAACCAACTAACAACATTTTGTTTAGTCATTTATTTGTTCCTTCATTGTATACATGCATCATAAGGCTAAGGCTCTTAGGGGAGGTTTAGCCCTTGCTAATTTACCCGCTAACTAACTAAAGGCAGGATTAGAGGAGGCTAATGTTTTGTTTTTGGCATGTGGGCCCCTAACTCCTGTACGTCCCTAACTTGAAGGTAACTCCTTGGATGGCTTTGGAGTTTTTACCTCGCTCACCCTTTGGCCCCTTGGGAGATATTTTGGTTCTCTAGGGTCCCTTCGTCACTAGCTGTTTTTTAGCTCTTCATGTTTTAACTCTACCATGGTTAGGTCCAAGGGTCTCTCTCTCTCTCTCTCTCTCTCTCTCATAAAAAAAAACAAAAATTGTCATGGTATCTTCAGAGACTTTGGTGCTGTTATATTGCACAGTGTGAAGATTCAGAATGTAATAACTGGTACTTATGCTACAATATTAGTGAGACTCTCTAAGCTCAGCTAGATGCTGCTGAACTGTAAGCTGGCTAATTTGTTGTTAGTATTAATTTTCTAGTACTAGATGCTCATTTTGTGGGCTATATTCAGTATTTGCTTCAATCCAATTTCTAGAGTTTTTTTTAAAAACATACTTTTATAATCTCGACAAAAAAACATTTAGTATTACTTCAATATATATAGCCTTTTGCTCGTTGAGTTAGCTAGGCTTATGGGTTTAATTTGTTGCGCGCAGCGGAAATTTCGGCAGCACTTCGACAGCACAACAAGAGAGTCAGATCGCAATAAGAATTCCCGTCTCACCAAGGAGATAAGAATCTGAAGCGGATATCTCAACAAAGTGAGATATCGGCTCTTCCTCTCATCAGTTCTAGGACTGACCTGTCGAGGGATCCTAAAAGCTATTACAAATCACACAAAAACAGTAGAACCAATTTTTATGTGGTTCGGCAAATTACCTACGTCCACGGGGCAAGGAGGGGGAGATCTACTAATAAAGAAAGAGAGAATACAAATAGGGTTTACACAAGAATCTCACAAATAAAACCCTCACACAAAACTCTCAAATCTCTCACAAAGCTCTCTCAAAGGGATGCACAAAACCCTAAAAGAAACTGCTCAAGACCTCAACACAGCTGCTGTTCTTCCCCTCTGGTTTCTTCACCTGCAGCCGCAAAAGAGAGAAAAAACCAAGCCAAACTCCTGCCGCCGCACAAAGAAAACAACCCTCTTGCGCACGCTGCCCTAGGAAACAAAATAATATATATAGGCTTTGGTAAGTCGGGTGGGCCTGGTCTTTGGGTGTTCACGCGGCTTCGGCTGCTTTGTTCAAGCGGAAACCACAAACCAAACCACACATGGGTGGGTCCCATGTCCCCCATGTCACAATTCTCCACCTCGGTAAAGTTTTTCCAAAACTGAGCCGATACCAAAGCATCCAAATATCCCAACTTATTGTGTTCAGTATGAAGTCAATCCACAATAAGTCAAGAACCCGAACGAGAGTCCAAACAATCTCACCCCCATCAACTAATCAACTAATCTGAATCGGCTGTATCTGAAAGACTGCCTACGTATCCTCTTGCCCAAGGAATCAAGCCGCCCGTAGTTCATCCAAATGGCCGCCAACGGCCTCAACAATCACGAATGTACAACAAGTTTCGACAATGATTAAACTTGTTGCTCAGAACCACCTTAGTGAGCATATCCGCCAGATTATCCTTCGTGTGAACCTTCACAAGTTCCACATCGCCATCTTCAAGAACATCCCGAACGAAGTGATAACGAACGTCAATGTGCTTCGTCCTCGCATGAAAAACCTGATTCTTCGCCAAATAGATAGCACTCATGCTATCACAATGAATAGCGACGGACCTCTGCGATATACCAAGTTCCTCCAAAAATCCTCGAAGCCAAATAGCCTCCTTCACAGCCTCCGTAACTGCCATATACTCTGCCTCCGTCATAGACAAAGCCACCGTCGACTGTAAGGTGCATCTCCAACACACCGGCGCACGGGTTAAAGTAAACACATATCCCGTCGTAGACCGGCGCTTATCCAAATCCCCGGCATAATCCGAATCAACATAACCAATGCATAGCTGCCCACCTGTAGTGTCCCGCTCATAAACCAAACCAACATTGAGCGTACCTCGAATGTACGTCAAAATCCATCTCACGGCGTCCCAATGACCCACTCCTGGATCGTGCATGTATCTAGATACCATGCTTACCGCCTGTGACAAATCTGGCCTCGTACATACCATCGCGTACATCAAGCTCCCAACCGCGCTCGCATATGGAGTCTTCGACATCAACTCACGATCTTCAACTGACTTCGGTAAAAGACTAGCTGAAAGCTTCAAATGAGCTCCCAAAGGTACACCAACTGGCTTCGTATCCATGCTAACATGGAATCCCTGTAGAACCTTCTTCAAATAAGCCACTTATGTCAAACAAATTCTGCCATTCTTCTTATCTCTGCCGATCTCCATCCTTAAAATACGCTTCGCCTCGCCCAAGTCCTTCATCTCAAACTCATTTGAAAGCTGAGCTTTCAACTCATCTATAGCCGACCTGGAAATAGAGACAACCAACATGTCATCGACATAGAGCAACAAATAAATGTACGCACCTCCTTTCAACTTGCGAAAATATACGCAAGGATCAAACTGGCTCCGAGTGTACGAATGACCAAGCATAAAACCATCGAATCGCCTATACCACTGTCGAGGAGACTGCTTCAAACCGTATAGCGATTTCTTCAGTTTGCAAACTAATTTTTCTTTCCCTGCAGCTCGGAATCCCAATGGCTGAGTCATATATATTTCTTCATCAAGATCACCATGAAGAAATGCCGTTTTCACATCCAACTGATCTAATTCCAAACCATACTGTGCCACCAAAGCTAGCAAAATCCGAATCGAAGAATGCTTCACCACCGGAGAGAAAACCTCATTATAGTCAATACCTTCCTCCTGTGCATAGCCCTTCGCAACCAACCTAGCCTTGAATCTCAACGGAGTGCCTTCAATGCCCTCCTTCTTCGTGTATACCCACTTGCAACCAATTGCCTTCCGCCCCTTTGGAAGCTCAACAAGCTCCCATGTATCGTTCTTATGAAGAGATTCCATCTCCTCCTGCATAGCCACCTGCCACGAATCAGCCTCCGAACTCTGCTCGGCCTCTCTGAATGTAGTAGGCACTAACTCATCGATACTCTCCACCGGAAGTGCATACGCAACTGTGTCGGCATACCGTGCTGGCATCTGTATGTTTCTCCTCTGTCTCCTAGCCGCAATAGAATCCTGAACCTGAGCCGTCGGTTCCTGATCCTGCACATTTGTACTCGTATCCTCCGTGTCATCGTCGTGTTCGCCTGGCGTCACCTCAGTCGGCACCTGCATGGATACTGTACCATCTGGACAATGTGGAGCTGCATCGATCTCCACCACCTGCGATATCTCCTCCGTCGGGTCGCTCTCCACCTGATGAGAGCTGGGAAGCTTCAAGATAGAAGCTTCATCAAACGTGACGTCCCTACTCAGCACAATCTTCTTATCAACTGGATCCCAAAGCTTGTATCCCTTGACACCACGCTTGAATCCTACAAATATGGCCTTCCTAGCTCGAGGTTCCAATTTATCAGTTCTAACATGATAATATGCAGGGCACCCGAATACCTTGAGCTGGTCATAGTCATGTGCTGGCTTTCCCGACCACATCTCCATAGGGGTTTTCCCCTCAATCGCAGATGAAGGCAGCCTATTAATGAGGTGGCTCGCATATGTAAGTGCCTCAGCCCAAAAGATCTTCTCCAAACCACTCTGCGACAATAAGCATCGGATCTTCTCCAGTAAAGACCGATTCAACCTCTCTGCCACCCCATTTTGCTGCGGTGTATGACTAACTGTGAAGTGTCTCTCTATGCCCTCGTCTCGACATAGCTGCTGAAAGGGGTCAGAAGTATACTCACCACCGTTGTCGGATCGCAACGTCTTGATCTTTCTCCCAGTCTGCAGTTCCAATCTCTTTTTCCACTCCACAAACAAATCTAGGACTTCACTCTTCTTCGTCATGGTGTACACCCAACATCGCCTAGAATAGTCATCTACAAAAGTGACGAACCAATGTCGACCACCATGTGATGCAGTCTTGGTAGGACCCCAAACGTCTGTGTGCACGTAATCCAGGATGTCCCTCGTCTGATGAATGACAGTCCCGAACTTCACCTTCGTCTTTTTGCCAAGAACATAGTGCTCACAGAACTCAATCTTCTCACTCTTGGCTCCCTTCAATAGCCCCTGCTTGCACAATGCCTGCAGTGACTTTTCACCTGTGTGCCCCAACCTATAGTGCCAAAGTCTGCTCATGTCCGCTTCTGAAATAGCCGAAGCAACCTGGCCAATCTCGGTGCTTCCCTTCAGATAATACAAATTCTGATTGCGAACTCCCCTCATCACCACCAATGATCCCTTAGTAACCTTCGCTACAGCGTTTTTGAAAGTCACCTTGAATTCCTTCGCCTCCAAAGCTCCAACTGAGATAAGATTTTTTTTCAGTTGAGGAACAAATCTCACCTCCTTCAACTCACGGACTACTCCATCGTGCATCCTAATCCGTATGGTACCTGTCCCACAAACGCCACAGGATTGATCATTTCCCATGACAATAATGCCCCCGCCGACTTTCTCAAAAGATGCAAACCAGTCTCGTCTAGGGGTCACATGAAAAGTAGCGCCGGAATCAAGCATCCAATCTGATGCATCCACATGGTTCACCTCCGGAGTAATCAGTAGAGAAAAGCACGAATCATCGGAATCATCGCCTTTCGCAATGTTCACCTCATTGGCCTTCGGGCCCTTTTTCTTGCCATTCTCTTTCTCCTTGAGCTTCTGGCAGTCTCTCTTCCAATGTCCCTGCTCCTTGCAGAATGCACATTGGTTCTTTGTTAATTGGTGGCGGCCTCTAGACTTTGACCTCCCTCTGTTACCACCTTTCGGATATGGGCTTCTACCTCTCGTCGACAAGGCCTCGCCTGAAGTGCTAGCACGGGAAGTCTCATTGTCCTTCCTCCTCAAATCGTAATTTTTCAAAGCGTTAGTCACTTCACTATAGCTGATAGAAGATCTCCCGTTCAACAAAGTGAGCACGAAGGTATCATACTCCTCATCGGGTAAGGAGCCCAACAAAATAATCGCCTTGTACTCATCCGATATCTTCTCATCAACATTCGCCAAGTCCGACAACAACTTAGTGTAGTTGTTCACATGAGCTGCTAGAGAAGTGCCTCTGGACATCTGAAATCTGAAGAGTCTTCGCAGCAAGTGCAACCTATTCTCAACACTCTTCGTGAGATACTTATTGTTGAAAATTTCCCACATCTTCATTGCAGACGTCACCCCAATCACATCATATTTCAGTTCCTGTTCCAAACAGGACCTGATCACCCCACACACATTCCTATTCATCTTATCCCATATCGCCTCATCATATTTAGGTGGCCTCTCGTGGACCATGATGGTCTCTTCCAAATTCTGAGCATTGAGCGCATCCTGTACGTCGCTCATCCACAAACCAAAGTTAATTTTGCCGTCATATTTCACCA